GAACGACGGGATGGGAGAGAAGGAAACAGCCGCTGCGATGGTCAAGAAAGTCGTCTCACGCCCGTGGTGGGGCACGCTGTGCGGGGGGCAAAGGGCTGCGTGCGCGGAGCACATCAGGGTTCAGCCACAGGCGTACAAGAGCCAAATTCACACGTCCAGAGGAGGGGCTGACCTGCCAAGGCAGCGTGGTCAGCGGACATCCAGGATAGCAGATGGGCTGAGACCAAAATGTAGTGCTAGATGAGAAGTGGAAAAAGAGCAATAGAAATGACACGGAAAATCCTTAAACGTACAAATGGAAGATACTCTGATAAAACTCCAGAATGATTGCTTGCTTGCTTACGTGGAAGTGGCTCAGTGTGGTTTCCACACCCTTTGGGACATCCCCTGAGAGGCCGGGGAAGATCTCACAGAATCACAGAATGGTCAGGGGCGGAAGGGACCTCTGGAGATCATCTAGTCCAACCCCCCCGCCAGAGCAGGGTCACCTCCAGCAGTGGCACAGGACGGCGTCCAGGCGGGTTTGGAATGTCTCCAGAGTGGGAGACTCCACCACCTCTCTGGGCAGCCTGTGCCAGTGCTCCACTACCCTCAAGGTAAAGAAGTTCCTTCTCATGTTAAGATGGAACTTCCTATGTTCAAGTTTATGCCCATTACCCCTCGTCCTATCACTGGGCGCCACTGAAAAACGACTGCTCCCATCCCCCTGGCATCCTCCCGTTAAGTATTTGTAAGTATCTCACGCAACAGCAGGGGAAGAAGTAGCCCCACCTTCTCATACAAAGGATTCTGAAATTATAGGGAGGGCAAAAATTGCAGTCTGTAGACGAAACAATTTTAAACTAAAGTCTGCTCTTAACTCTTAAGTCCAGCAAGAGTCATGACTAGTCCTGACAGTCACGAGCGGGGCTACCTGCATCAGGCGGTGAGGTGCTGGGGCACAGCGAGGGCGGGTGACCTCCTCTAATCCTTTCCGGCTCTGTTTTTTGTGATGGTGAATGTTTTCTTGATCTGCAATGCTGTCTGGCCGTGCTGGGAAGCATCAGAGAGCAGCTAACAGCGAGGAAATGTCTCATGAGAGACTGTGCGGAGTGGGAAGCAATCAGATCTGCGCCACGAGAGTGGAGCATCCTGTGAAACGCCGTAAACATCACAAGCAGCTGTTTGGGGCAATTTTAATGATTTAGTGCAGGGCCGTGACCCAGGGAAAGCTCTTCTGGCTAGCCAAGGGACTTCAGCCCCTCTTTGTGTTGTGTTCTCCTTTTGACATTGTTGCTTGCAGAAATAGATGGAGAGAGGCACTTCTTCCCTCTGCCAAAGAGTAGAGGTAGGAATTCTGGATGAGCAGGGGTAAGGCTGTCTCCACGGCGTGCCCGACCAGCCCACGCCCGTGGGCTTTGGGTCACATGCTTTAAAAAAGGGTAGTTTAATCCCCCATGCCCAAGTTTTTTCCCGGTCGTTAGGGAGTGCTTAGCAGCGCTAGTTCATTTTCGTAGCATTTTGGTGGGTTTTGCGTCTGCCAAATCATCAGCTGGTGTAAAATTGTGAATTTTTAACCGGACTGTGTTACAAAGGCTTTGTAGTAAGTTTTACTGGGAAACCGGCTCCATAACTGTTACAAGATAAAGGTACTGGTATCAGTGTGCCCTCCGTTATCCAAAGTTCCTGTTACTTATAACAGGGTCACGTCCTCTCACATGTCTTAATTATGTGAAAATTCCTCAGCCCGCCTTCAAATATTTATCTCTTGTGTGCAGGCGAGTTGCATTTTTTCCTGTATTAATACAGATCCGTAGCTGCCCCTCTGGCCAGATGCTCACCTCAGATAGAGGGGAGGTGCTCTGAAATTAGTGTTGGTATGTCAGAGATTAAAAGTCAGCCGAGAGAGAACAATGCTGGATAGTCTCAGGTGAGATTTTGTGCAAGGTGAGGGCATTTTTTGCTCGCGGAAGGAATGCCTTCAATTCCAGTGAAATCTTTAACTCCTATCAAGCAGGATGCCCTTTCCAGTCTGACCCATGATACTGCTAATAGCCATCCAAGGGTTTCCACTTTATCTAAGGAAATGCATAATCAGAGGGGAGGAGAAGTTAAAGAAATCCATGCCTACACTCGACTCATACAAAGTCTATTTTTATCGTATTCAATCAGGAACAATCAGGCGCAGAGAGGAGACGCAGATGAATTTGCATGATCAGACTTCTGTGTCTTAAATGTTAATTAAAAGTTATTTTAAATTTGCCTA